TCTTTCTTTCTTTCTTTCTTTCTTTCTTTCTTTCTTTCTTTCTTTCTGTCTTTCTCTCTCTCTCTCTCTCTCTTTCTTTCTTTCTTTCTTTCTTTCTTTCTTTCTTTCTTTTGAATGGCAACCTCAGCCATTCATACAATCTGAAGACTTTAAAAAGAGTCATAAAATACCAGTTGTATTCTGGAAGATCCTCAGCTCTTCCTCAATAATATGTTGAACACCATCCCATCTGAGGGGCCCATCAATCCACATTACATCAACAAGCCCTTTATCATGTCCACCCATGTGTTTCCTTGGTAAAATACAGGAATCATTTAGTTTTGCCTTCTCCCGTGATTATTATCCACATTTTAATTGTTTTCCTCTGTTATCACAATAACATTAAAAATAAAAATTACAAGCTGTTGGTGGATACATCCAAGGTTTTCAGGAATCATGTAATTCTGAAGTCTACTCTCCTTTACTTTTTAAAACAAGTCATTAATGCTTTATATCAATTCATTAACCACTGCAATAATTTTTGAAGATACTATTCCCTAGAAATTGCTGACGTCATAGATATTGTACAAAACTTTCTAAAAGAAATTGTTTCAACTGAATGGTATGAAGAATATATTGGTAGATCAAGCATTTCTATTAACCTAGTACTGATAAGATACTACTTATATTATAAATATGCATTTAAGTATTTTATAGTAATTGCATGTTCCATATATATTTATTTCTCACTATGCCTTGTCTGATTTTTATTAGCCTCAATAAATCAATGTCTTTAATCCCTCTATTAATATAAATGTTCCTGTATTTTTCCTTTATCGGTTTAAAAATGGCATGATTAAAAAAACAGTATCTAAAAACTTCAATTGAATGACAGCCATAAATTGCAATTTCTAAAGACTGCTACTTGGATTAATCATCATCAGATAAAATACAACTCACAATACATTAGTCGCACCTTATTATTTGCTTTCTGATGCTTTTACCCTTGAGGATCTATTATAAACCCATTCTTTTCTCAAGTGTTTATCTGCAGTTAAGGACTCTGACAGCACATTTAAAAATAAAATGTGGAATTTCCAATGTGAATACATCAAGGTTACTTTTTTTTTTTAAGTCGAGAGGTCTGTGGGATTGTGTATACTGAATTGGGATTATGAAACATTAAAGAGACATTAGATCTCAAAACTATCTTTCTCCTGGCAACCCACAGAAAGCTGTTCGAGTGACCACAATGATGAAGAGACTCCGAGCGCCAGATCACACAGATGCAGCTAAACCAACCCTTCCCACTGCTGCCACAACAGATGGTGCTGCTACAACACAGCCCAACAACACCCTGCAGGCTAAACCTGAAGCAGATAACACAGCTCCAACAACTGAAGCTGCCCGGGTGGCCACAATGGTATCAGCCCCTGCAGAAGGAAACCCAGAGGGAAAAACATCCACAGCTCCAGCAACTAAAGCAGAAACATCAACAATGACATCAGCAGGTCCAGCGACATGCAACGGGGAAGGAACCACTGCCCCCAGTGCCACCCCCGAGTCCTGGAATGAGGAGACTGGCTGAGTCAGAGAGGAGCCAAGCAAGGGCAGGATTGTACCTCTCTGTGTTGTATCTCTCTTGTAAATAATCACCGGCATGGTCCCTCCAAGTGTCCTGGCTTCCCAATCATTCCCTCTGTGTGTGGCTGTCAGTTTGTCTCACTCTGTGTTACTCCAGCAGAGTTTCTATTTTCTATATGACACAATCCAGAGTGATCCTGATGGGCTCCAATAAAGAGATGCTGTGGAGGCCCAAACCACTGCATGAAATTCTCTTGTTTCTCTCCACCCCTTGTCCTTTTCTTCTCTTGCTTTCTTTTTCTTTGTGGATTTTATTCGTTTTGTAAGTATGACTGTCCTAAAGGTACCTTTATTTATGTTATGCATTCCTGAGACCACTTTCAAGACTGCCATCTTCTCAGACATCCAGTCACTCACTCACTATTCAATTTCTTGGCTCTTTGAGCATCAAGGGAAGCAGCTGAGGCAAGCAGATGAAATGTAGAAATCACATTCTTCAGATGACCCATCTGTTGTATCATAGGGACATAGTAAATCAAAAGTCCTTGCAAAACTGCTAACTTTAATTGGGTATTACATAAGTCCATACAACACCATAGTTACTCAGTAGAAAATGTATGTAGAATTTGTATGTTTAGCTGCTATTTATTTTTGTTTTCTCTCTCTCTCTCTCTGAGAGAGAAGGGGAGGAGAGAGATCTTTCATAGATTGATTATTTGAGTCTTTCCTCTGAATAGATGAATTTTTTAAATATCACTTAGGAGTAGGCTGAGGTACTGAAGATGAAAGGCAGCTATGATATGACTTTAAATTTATTACCCAAAGAATAAGGATAAGGAGTTATGTTGCATGATTATAGATTATATAAATCTGGAATACAGAAGTCCAGATTATTAGCAATAGTTGTTGAAATAAGAGCAACTTTAAGATACATGTAACATGAATTAACACCACATCGCAGCAAAGACAGATGGGTCACAACTTGACCAAATTGTACTAATAAATTTCATAAGGATTCCACCTGAATATATTATGAAAGAATCATAATCACTTGCAAACAGGTTGTCAGCGTTAGGTAGAGAGACCAAATGCAACTGAGAATACATTGCTAATATTGCTCTCTACATTTATTGTATGAATGAATAATTTCTGTAATCACATTTTTTTTTTGCACCTACTTAAATTCTTTCAGTAAACTCCCTTTTTACAATCCTGTAATCCAGGGGTCCCCAAACTTGGCAACTTTAAGACTTGTGGACTTCAACTCCCAATTCTGGCTCGAGAAGTCTGGGAATTGAAGTCCACAAGTCTTAAAGTTGCCAAGTTTGGAAACCTCTGCTGTAAGGGGTAGAGTAGGGGTGACCAGATGGACTCGAATACCTTCAGTGACACAACTTAAATGTTTTATTTGGTGGAAATACAGCTTTCAAAAACCAAATAGATGATATATATGGGAGCAGACAACTTTGTGGGGCAGAACATATTAAAAAGTGGGGGGATCAGGAGATATATGCAGTGTTGGTACAAAAGGCTACACTCAAACGTGCTATTCACAGAGAAAAACTCCTAAACTGTACCAGACAAAGAAGTAATTTGCCAATAGGTAATAGCAAATGAATATGCTCTTTTTTCTTTTTTTCTTCATTCTGAAAGAAAAACATCATATTCCAAAAATTAATATTCCCGAGGCAGAATAAACATTGCAGTTGCATTTTTTTAATTATTATTTCCCATTTAACACAATATTCAAAAATATTGTGAACATATAAAATATTAATAATTTATACAGAATTCCTGTCCATAAACCAATATTTTTTCAGCTGTAAACAAATGAGTATGGACGCGGCATCTGTCCAGGAGTCTAACAGCTTTGCCCTATGTGTATCATTAAGTCATATTGACAAACACAACAAGTATACAAAACGTATGCATTTTAAAAGTCTGATAAATTTTCTGATTTTAATGGGAAAAGCATGCTGTTCTTCTCAACAGGGATACTCTGATATTCTAGCAAGCAAAACTGCCATCTTCAAAACATGTCATCTCTGCTATTTTTCAGACCATCCTAAACCCAATTTATAGAGAAAGAAGAAACTAGAGTTTTGATGGTATTTAGCATGTCACACGTATGGCATCCCAGTATCACAGAATCTCATGTCATGGGTTTGTTGTTCCTTCCTGGCAGGAGGATCTAACATTTGTAAGACAACTTTTAACATTATAAGAAATTCCAAGTGTATGATATGATTTCCCCCTTAAAAGTCTTTTCCTAATTTTTGATACATGGGTAGCTTCTGGGCCTGTTTGGCAATACATGGAACGCCTGATTCAGCCCTGAGCATAGAACCAGCATCCTATACCGCCATTGCTTCTGCTAATTCCAGATGTTTGTTGAGGTGAGTCCCAGAAAATTGGCTTAAGGTTTTTATGCACATGTACCTCTGAGATGGACCCCACATGGGTTTTTTTGGTTATCTTTCATAATTCTTAACCAGGGTTGTGTACAATATAATCAATAAAATTAAACATTAAAATCAGAATAAGTTAGGATTAAAAGTTTTTAAATTATAAAACCAAATTATCAGAAGGTAAAGAATTCCAAGATAGTGATTAGCAGCTGTTGACACGGAGGGGGGGTGGAGTGGAAAGTTCTCATGGGACCAGCCAGCCCCATGGTTGTTTGAACTTCTATATCTATCCCCACAAGGCTAGACAGCCAAGTTTTGACTGTGAGAAAGGCCAGTGTTCTCCATCTACAGACAGAATGGGACACAACACGATTTGCTATGTCCGCAGGACAATTCACTATTTGCCACTAGTTTGCCACAGGACAATTCACTATTGGACAATTCAACAATTCAAAATAATTATTTAAAATAGTTAAAAATATTTTAATTTTCATTATTTACATTTCATTTTGTCTCTCCTTTGGCATTCTTTCTTTAATTATTCTATTCTACTATTTCTTCTATATTAGTGTAACTTTTGTCCCATGGCGAGTTGGTTGGCCATGCCAAATTGCCCCATAGCAAGTTGGCTGTGGTGAGTTGGCCATGATGAGTTGTCATAGACCCCATGTAGAGCAGACTAGGCTATAGTTCCTGTTGTAGAATTCAATGAAGTCTCAAGGTTTCTCCTACTGTAAAATTTAGACAAAATCTGATTCAGTTACATAGCAATTATTTACTCAGTTTAAGCATCAAGTTATGCCAACATATAGCTTTTTAGGTTAGCATGTTGTGTAGACCTCCATTACTGTGCTTTGTAAAATATGATTCATGGCTTGACATATCAGAGTTAACCAAGTGGGATTTATTCACAAAAACACAGCTTAGTGCCATGTGCAAACTCAATCCTTATGTAAAAAAATGCAATTCTATAACATCAACCATCTCACAGTTGTTATCATACATAGCACACAATTCCTGAAAGCATATTAAAGCATTAGCAATGACTACTTGGAATTTGGTATGTTCATTTGCGAACAAAAACAAATTCCTAACATTGTATCTCAATTTAGAACTATCTTGATTTCCAACTGAGAATGTACCTCTGATAATTATCTGGGGTACAGAGATACAAGCTTTGGTGAGCTTGTAATGCCAAAAGTTAACGTTTCCCAGAAATATACGCACTTATTGTATATGAAAAGCTTAACTCCAGAATAATATTCTTTGTAATGCTGCAGCCAATGGCTGACATAGTTATGTAACAACCAAGAATCTGCGGCCTATGGACTGATATACAGTAGAAGGAACAGTCCAAAGAAGTCTCACCAGTTTGTCTTCTAAGCTTTCATAATGGCATAAGCCACCAATAGTCAAGGACTATAAACATTCGTTCCTGCTTCAAGTTAGTTTCTGAGCCCCCATAGGTGTTTCTTTTATCCAAAAGAAACAGTGAGTGCCATGTGACTGCTGAAGTGAGCAGCCAAAATGGCTTTTCTGACTAAATAATAGCTTTGGAAAAAGAAATGCCTAGAAATTGTTTCATATATGTATGATTTGTGTATAGACACTTCTGTTATGGCTTCACATTACACACACTTGATAAATAAAACAGTTTTATGATTTGTTATAGATATATACATCTTCATTTTTTGGCATACATATCCATGTCTCCCATTCTGCGTGTGTGTGTGTGTATGTGTATTACAGATGCAGCATTAAAAGACAGCCTTACAACTTTGTTGTTATCACCTCTTAGAAAAATATCTAAGGAAAAAACAGGTTATGGTCTTCATTGTTTGTTGTAAGACTATTCGATGTAAGACAGATTCTTAGATCAGCTGTGGTATTCTATTGTACACTAGTTCTACCTTTGAATGTGAAACAGAGGTGTTTAACTTATGATGAGTCTCAACATTGGCCCTGTTGTAATAACTACTGCCAATATTGACAATGGAACCTATGGCAGACATGGTCATATTTTGTCTGGTGTGTGACCATTTTGAAAATGAAAATGGTATATAGTACTCAGAAATGTATTTCAGCTACTGAACTATAAAATCCTTATTCAAGGCTAAAGCAGTTTCACTATTTTTTCACACAGCTTCCTTCCCATATCTTGAGTGGTTTTTATGTATATAATTTTGTATTGAGTAAATATTTATCTTTATTTAGAAAAATATAAACCTGCTTTCTATTCATTATTTTAAAAATGCATTATAGTATAAACAAGATTGCTGTAAATTAAGAGTATGGATTGAGCAATATCTAGTTTGCTGTACATACAGAAATTCATATACCCAATCCTCATTTAGATATTAACTGATTGATCAATAATTCTCATTAATTTCAGGGAAGACTGTAAAGGATTTTTAGTTCTATCATCTCCACTTAGTATTATTTAACTGAGCTTTCTTTTGAATAATACCTAGTGGACTGCTCTGCAATTAATGAGATATTAGATTGGATTGAACTTCATTTTAAGTGGGAATTATTATCTTACACTCGGCTGACTTTAGCATTAGGCTGTTTTGTAGTTTAGATTAGGTCCTGGGCAATTCAGATTGGAATGGATGAATACTATGGGATCATTTCAAAACAAAAAATATAAGACTTGTGACATAATACTTTCAGAAGTATGAGTAACTATGGTACCAATTCTCTAAATTGTACAACCCTTATATATTGCTTAGCAGTGGTGTACAAAGCCTGATTGCAGGTAATAAGGGAGTGCTGTTGAAGATACC